GGGGGTACTTCTGCTTATAGAAAAAGCTAAAATAGTTCACATATCTATGGGAGAGTTTCAAAGTTTTTTTTCTATACATTCTTTGCTACTGTATTAAATTCTCGATCAAGGAAATTCTTGAATTAAAGGAAAAGTTGTTCATCAAAAAGTAGGTAAATTAGAGTCCTTTTTAGTTAAAGTCATAAATGAATTATATAACTTGTGTCAGATACTTTCATAAGAAATATTCTCATTTAGAAATAAAATTGTTTAATTTAAATTAAATTTGAGACACGGCTCAAATGTGGTTGGTTCCACTTAGATTTGTATGCAATGTTTCAAGATTTAAGCTGGCGCTCATTTGAAACCGGTTTTTGGCTGAATTGAGACACTGCTCAAATTTAGTTTATTCCGACTCAAGGAAAACACCAGACCCCGAAACCTAATGTAGTACAATGTATGCAGTACAATTATTTGGAGGTTCCCATTGTAACTTCCTTGCTACGGATAATCTTGATGAATATTTACTTAAAGAGACTGCATCAGCGTAATTTCAATGTCGTTTTTCTAAATTTAAAAGTTATAATTAAGATAATTTCTATATATTTTCCTGCAGTAGAAATGCGCAAGTCACTTTTGTGGAGAAACCACATTTGAAAATTATTAGTTTTCAAAATATAAAACTTGACATAGTATGTATACTTATCAGACAAAGCTCCCCACTAATTAATGATTTAAAGAATCAAGATTGCCTCCCCACTGTGCCAAATTATAAAAATCAAAAAATTGTTTTATAAGAATGAACGATTGTAATTTAAATGATAAGAACAAAATATTTTTAAAATTATCTTGATAATAATGCTTTTATATTTGTAAAGTTATAAAGTTATAATTAGCTTTATCTTATCTTATCTTATCTTATCTATTATGGCAAGGGGGGAGGGGGATAATTCAGGGCAAGAGAAGAAAAATCGTTTTCTTTCTAGAATTTGAAACCTAATCATTCCAAAACAGCATCCACTTGGCAATAGTTTTATTTAGAGGAAGCTACTTCCATAGTTGTCAAAAAACTGTCTGTTTTGATTTGGAATCAACTACCCCCTGAATAGAATACTTCTTAAAATATGTGATTAAATTGTGCACAATTGTGCACTCTACTATTCTTATCTTTAGGTAACAGAATACACAGTTTAGTTTATCAACATTTTATTTAACTTAATTCAACATGTTTAGTGTGTAACTAGCCATGAATCAAACAGGTTCAAAATGTTTTTTTATCTTCTGTTTACAATTTTTCTCTGTACATGGGAAGCAGCCAAATATAATCTTTATGTTAACGGATGATATGGGGTCTGCTGATGTCAAGTTTAGAAACCCTGACTCCCCATTTGTCACAGACAACATTGATGCATTAGCATCAGACTCGGTAAGATTATTTAACTACTATGTGCATCCTACATGTACACCTACCAGAGCTGCACTAATGACTGGACGCTATGCTGCTAATGTAGGTCTCCACCTTGCCCTCATACCTGGTAATCCTGCTGGACTTGATCCAAAGTACCCCACCATGGCTGAACACCTAGAATCAGAAGGATATGAAACTTATCTAGTTGGAAAATGGCACCTGGGAAACAGTATGAAAAAGTATCATCCTAGAAATAGAGGATTTAAACACTTCTACGGACTGCTAGGTGGGGGATTCAACCACTACACAAAACAATGTGGAGCTGGAAGATATGACTTTTGGAGAGATTTTGAAGCTGAATTTGACAATGTCACACATTCAACAGATTTATTAAATGCAGAAGCACTTCGTGTGGTAACTAAACACGTGGAAGACAAATCCAGCAGTCCGTTCTTCCTCTTCCTTTCCCACCCTGCACCTCATGATCCACTCCAGGCTCCTCTAAGGTTTCAAGATAAATGCAAGCATATACCCAACAGGAGAAGAATGATGAGCTGTGCAATGGTTGCGGGGATCGATGAAGGATTTGGCAAGATTATTGATGTATTGAGGGAGAATGGTGAGCTTGATAATACTATTATAGCATTTTCTACGGACAATGGAGGTGTTCCTTATGCTGGAGCGTTGAACTACCCACTCAAAGGTGGTAAATCTACAATGTGGGAGGGTGGAGTAAGAGCTCCTGGTTTCATTTATTCTCCAAAGCAGCTAGGAGAAGGTTATGATTTTCAGGGATTGTTTCATGTTACTGACTTCTTTCCAACCTTTATGGCGATGATAAATTCTACAAAGAAAATAGAAAAAAGCTCTGAGCTTGATGGCCTAAATCAGCTCAAGTCTTTAGCTAATCGAGAGAAAACAGGAGTTCGTGAATCAGTTCATATTCACAGAGATATTGATAGAGATGGTCAGGCATTCAGAAAAGGACCTTGGAAAATAATAGTAGGACATCATTACTTGCCTTTAATTTTTGATAGAATTTACAATGAAACCAAGTCAGGTTGGTTGGTTGAAGGTGGGCATTGGAGGGATAAACTATCTGAAATTATTACTCGTGCCATGGATTTCATCTCACCCACACACAACACCATCTTTATGCAGTATATTCTCTGGCTTTTCATAGATTCTCAGAACATTGGTGGGGTAAAAAATATATTTACAACACGATCTGATGAGGGCCTTATGCAGAAACCTTTCCCTTCTGATCTAGAATTCTGGATCAAGAAACACACATCAGAATATCCAACTGTTGGTCTGTATAACTTAGAGGAAGATCCCAGGGAACTAACTAACTTGGCTTTTAAACATCCCGAACTAGTTAGGTCATTGTTAGAAGAGGCTGAGGAGCAAATAAAGAACCAGCCCAGCATGTTTAGGGGAGATATGCTGTATCAAAAAGCTCCTGTTGGTCCTCAATTTGGATCTATTGCTAAACTGAGGCATTATGGATCTGACCACTCAGAAGTTATTCCATTTGGACCTTTCCTGGAGGATAACTTTAACTTGGAAGAGGCGGATACTCAGGACTTTGTTAGATTGTTTAATCAACAAGGACCAGAAATCATATCTATGATGATACAATTCTCTATTGTGTATTTAGTATTACCAATTTACCTAATGAAATTTGTAATTAATCGCATGTTTTAAAATAAATAATTTTGTGTTAAGCTTAGAACTAAAGGAGTAAATCATATGAATGTTGTATCTGTACAGAGTAGAAATAATGAATGGTATAGTTGTGCAGTATAAAACTAATAGATGTTGTAGTTGTGCAGTATATAACTAATAGATGTTGTAGTAGTGCAGTATAGAACTAATGGATGTTTTAGTTGTGCAGTATATAACCAATGGAAGTTGTAGTTGTGCAGTATATAACTAATGGAAGTTGTAGTTGTCAGTATATAACTAATGGAAGTTGTAGTTGTGCAGTATATAACTAATGGAAGTTGTAGTTGTGCAGTATATAACTAATGAAAGTTGTAGTTGTGCAGTATATAACTAATGGATGTTGTAGTTGTGCAGTATATAACTAATGGATGTTGTAGTTGTGCGTATATAACTAATGGAAGTTGTAGTTGTGCAGTATATAACTAATGAAAGTTGTAGTTGTGCAGTATATAACTAATGGATGTTGTAGTTGTGCAGTATATAACTAATGGATGTTGTAGTTGTGCAGTATATAACTAATGGATGTTGTAGTTGTGCAGAATATAACTAATGGAAGTTGTAGTTGTGTAGTATAGAACTAATATATTTTGACGTTGTGCAGTAAAGAACTCGTGGATGATGTAGTTGTGCAGTATATAACTAATAGTTGTTGTAGTTGTGCAGTGTATAACTAATTGATGTTGTAGTTGTGTAGTATATAACTAATGGATGTTGTAGTTGTGCAGTATATAACTAATGGAAGTAGTTGTGCAGTATATACCTAATGGATGATGTAGTTGTGTAGTATACAACTAATGGATGTTGTAGTTGTGTAGTATATAACTAATGGATGTTGTAGTTGTGCAGTATATAACTAATGGATGTTGTAGTTGTGCAGTATAGAACTAATGGAAGTTGTAGTTGTGCAGAATAGAACTAATGAATGTTGTAGTTGTGCAGAGTATAACTAATAGATGTTGACGTTGTGCAGTAGAGAAATAATGGAGTTTATAGTTGTGGAGTATAGAACTAATGGAAGTTGTAGTTCTGCAGTATAGAACTAATGAATGTTGAAGTTGTGCAGAGTAGAACTAATAGATGTTGACGTTGTGCAGTAGAGAAATAATAGAGGTTATAGTTGTGGAGTATAGAACTAAAGGAAGTGCAGTATAGAATAAATGAATAGTGTAGTTGTGCAGCATAGAACTAATTAATGTTGTAGTTGTGCAGAGTAGAACTAATAAATAGTGTAGATGTGCAGTATAGAACTAATTAATGTTGTAGTTTTGCAGAGTAGAACTAATGAATAGTGTAGATGTGCAGCATAGAACTAATGGATGTTGACGATGTGCAGTAAAGAACTAATGGATGTTGTAGTTGTGCAGAGTAGAACTAATGAATGTTGTAGATGTGCAGTATATAGAACTTATAGATGTTGACGTTTTGCAGTATAGAACTAATGGATGTTGTAATTGTGCTGTATAGAACTAATAGATGTTGTAGTTGTGCAGTATATAACTAATGAATAGTGTAGATGTGGAGTATTGAACTAATGGATGTTGTAGTTGTGCAGTATAGAAATTATGGAAGTTGTATGTTGTGCAGTATAGAACTAATGGATGTCGTACTTTGTTTAATATAAAATAATCAAAAAGAGTCAGAAATAAACCTTTTGATTATAAGAAAACGTTCTGTTCTTTTTATTGCTGTATCCTTAATGTATGAATATATATTATACAAAAACCATTAAATATAATTGGTATTCTCTTTTCATTCTCACAACCTGCTACCTTCCCACAATTATCTATCTTTCTAGCTCTATACCTAGTTTTCTATTGCTATATCTAGTTCTCTAGATATCTATCTAGTTCTATATCTAGTTCTCTAGTTCTATATCTAGTTCTATATAGTTCTATAACTAGTTCAACAACTATATATAGTTCTATTTCTTGTTCTATATCTAGTTCTATATCTAGTTCTATATCTAGTTCTATATCTAGTTCTATATTTAGTTCTATAGCTATTTCTTTATTTATTTCTATACCTAGTTCTATATCTAGTTCTCTATCTAGTTCTCTATCTTGTTCTCGAGTTCTATATCAGTTTTACATCTAGTTTTAGTTCTAGTTCTATATTAGTTCTATTTCTTGTTCTATATCTAGATCTATATCTAGTTTTATATCTAGTTATATATCTAGTTCTTTACCTAGTTCTTTATCTCGTTCTCTATATAGTTCTATATCTGGTTCTATATCTAGTTCTATATTTGGTTCTCTAATGAGTTACCTATATATCTGTATCTAAATATCAATAAATAAATAATAAAATAACACAATTTCTCCATGGCTCTACATATTGCCTATGATGACCCTGAACCCAATATTAACATATGACAGGATGCATATCCTGCAGTTTATAATATCTAATTAAATACAGTTGATAAAATATATTTGAGTTGATACTTGAAGATTCGTTACTTTTGAAAATAAGGAAACATTTGGGAGATTTAGAGTAAATTTGATATACACTGATAAAAGCGCATTTTTGAAATGAAAGCGTTTCTATTCTTCATGCTTATTATAATGAAAGTTAGATAAGTTAGATAAGTTAAAGTTAGTAGGTCAATTTAGAGAGGTAAATAATAGTTTTACTTATATTGAAAATATAAAATCTTTCTTAACTGAACACTTTTACCAGATTCGGTGCAACTTGTATGTTTATTTAGAATTTTAAAAACTGCAAAAGTAACAAAACTAAAACCTCTTTTATTCAATTTTGATGGAATTTATCACACATAATATTTCCCGTTGTAGAGTGATTAAGTGACTTTTTCGCCCTACAACAGATTAAGGTTTCATGAGAGAGCAGTAGTGAGTTAGGCATTGCATTAAATGTAGGGTTACTTACAAACCCTTTAAAGCAGGAAAAAGTGGAGAACTACTGATGGCATTTATTGCATAATTTTTATAAACTTCACTTTGTCCTGCTAAATTCCTGAATATTTTCTCAAGATAGTGAACACTTTAGTTTCACAAGTTGCACTTGATTTAATTGTTTTCATACAAGATTTAAAATTGTTTTTTTTTTTAATTTGTTATTACCCCCGGCCCAACCCCCTCTTTTATATAGAAATTTGTCCAAGGGAGAGGGCTCAACTTTCCACGGGAGGGGGGTGGAGGGATTCTTACCCCTTCCCCTCCCCCAAAGAAAAAAACTATCTTTTTTCCAATTACCTCATGTCCATTTGACAGCTCAAATTTTTATTTTGAATAATCTTTTTTGTTTGTTTATTTTCTAACGATTTTAAACAAAAATTTAAAATTTTTTTTTATCTATTTTGATGGTTATTATATAATTAGAACTGACGAGGGTCGACCCAGACCGAAATATATTTTCAATAAATGTGGAACTAACATCTACTTTTTACTCTACAGAGGTTTGGTCCATCACCATCACCGAATTTTATCTTTTTTCCCCGCTCATGTGACTTTGTTTTCTCATAATTGGATATTGTATATTTGTTCAAAGAAAGTTTAAAAGGAAATATGCATTCTTTTATTCAAAAAGATTTGTCTCATCAAAGTGTCAGACCTCGAAGAGAAAGCCGTTTAGGTGGAAACATAGATATACATTCTTGCATATCTATGGGTGGAAATTATTAGAGAAGACAAAGTTCATTAAGAAAAACATGGAGCTAATTTAAATATTCAATTTTCATATTAAACAACAGCTTTTGTTCATATGTAAAATTCAAAATAGGAAGTTTTTCTTTTTCATATTTTAGAAAAAGAGAATTCCTTCATAAAAAGCTGGTGTTTTGGTGTGCAATAATTTTCATTTATTCCCTTTCAAAAATAATAATAAATAATAAAAATAATTCGAGTTTATTCCGGGGGGGTTTAAACTTCCATTGATTCTAATTTGTCTGAGAGTAAATTAAATGATACATTTATTGAGAAAATTTAATTGGAATATTGCATTTGATGAATCAATAAAGACCAAAAAATAATGAAATGTAGAAGCAAAAGTTTTAAGATTAAAACAAAGGATCAAATGCAAAAGAAAGAAAAAACGAAAAAATGAAGTTCGAAGAAAAGAAAATTATTTGGGAGGCTATAGTTCATTACGAAGAACATTGAGCTAATTTAAATATTCAATAAACAAAACAAAAGCTTGTCTAACATTCCTAAACCCCGTCAACTTAAAAACAATTCATAATAAAACTAGATAAATATATATTTTTCGAGAGGATTTAATCGAAAAATTGCACTTTATGAATAAATAGATCGAAGAGTTTTAAGGCAAAAACAAAGCGAAAAGCAACAGATTAAATACGAAATAAACTAATAAAAATGAAGATAAAGAAAGGGAATTATTTGTGAGACAGCTTTTGTGACATTTTTAAACCCCGTCAATTTAAAACAATTTTTATTAACACTAAAAGATACATTTTTTTAAAGGATTAATAATCAAAAATTACATTAAAAGTTTAAAGACCGAAAAAATAAATAACTTAAGAATCTAAAAAGATTAGAATTATAAAGATATGTTTTTGACATAAAATTTGAGATATTCATTTTCTGTAAACAGTAGAATTTGGTGGGCTTCACGCCACCATAAAATAAAGGGACTGTTCACGGCAGCCGTAGTGCATTTGAATTTCCGAGCCCGGTCAACCTTTCCGGTCCCAGTTTGTACTGAATCTAGCTCTATGGACAGGACTAGCCGGTGTAACAAGGTTGACGCGGTCAGACTTTATGCTTCATATAGGTTCAATTTACTTTTACTAAAGAAGCAGAGGTGCATGTGTTGTTTTATTTTTAAGATTGACCCTCTATTTTAAGCAAATGTTGATAATATCTTCGTTTTTTGAAAATTGTTCTAAATAACAACCGTTGCAAATGGTTTTAGGGTCACTTGAAATTACATTTATACTATCCTTTTTAAAAACAAAACTCTGTCCTCAAAAAAGCTTAATTTTAGTAATCAGGCATTGCCATCTCCGCATAAAGGGTTACTCGAAAT